CCGAACAGCAGAATGACCAGTTGCTATGATGTGCACTGACCACCAGGGAGAAGAAGCTCAATGCAGGAGCTGCCCCCTGGTGGTCAGTGTGCTCCCACAAGGGGAGCACCGCTCAGCCAGAAGCTGGGCTCACAGCTGGTGAGTGCAGCCGTGGTGGCAGGAGCTTCTTCCGCCTCCATGGCAGCGCTAAGGATGTCAATCAGACATCCCCCAAGGGCTCCTGGACTGTGAGAGGGCGCAGGCCAGGTTGAGGGGACCCCCCCCCCCCGAGTGCACAAATTTCATGCACCAGTCCTCCAGTCTAGAATAATATTTGACCAAATATCTGCATACGGCAGCTAGCCAAGTTGACATACACAATTAACACAACAGGTTTCTGCTCTATTTGCTTGTAGTCATATTCATGTGAGACTAACCACACTCAAGTTCTTTCCTAGATATAATTCTCAACCTAATATATTTATTTGCTTCTTCACCCCCTTGCCTGACTCTCAGTGTAATGATGGCTACATTAAAGCTGTGTGAAATAAGCGGGAAGGCCATGCTCTTCACCAGGTAATTGCCTTAGAGGTGATCACATCTTTCAATTTCTGTAGTTCAAGACATTTTCTATTTTTTTAAAAAGGATTTTTTTATTGATTTTTTAGAGAGAGAAGAAGGGATGGGGAGAGAGAGAGAAACATCAGTGTGAGAGGGAAACTGATTGTCTGCATGCCCCCTACCAGGAATTGAGTCTGAAACCCGGGTATGTGCCCTGATTGGGAACCGAACAGGTAACCTTTTGGTGCATGGGACGACACCCAACCAACTGAGCCACATCAGCCAGGGCTAAGACCTTTTTTCAATCTTATATTATTGGTTATCCAGAATCAGTCAGCTTTTCCCATCCTGAAAGGCCCATCACCTCTAGATTTTCTCTACAGGGTGGAGCAAAAGTAGGTTTACAGTTATTCATATGGAAAATAATACAATAATTAATAAACAATAATAATACAAGGATAAACTGTGGATCCATGTATTTACAACTGTAAACCTACTTTTGCCCCACACTGTATTTCCCTTCCATGTTTGCTTGAATTCCAGCTAATTATCACCTAAATCCACCTCTTCTTTAATATACTTCATAAAGGAACCTGTGCTAGTTATTCAGCTATTGTCTTTCAGCTCCAAACCCACCGTCCTACTTTCTGCTATGAGTTACTGGAGCTGGGATTCTGCAAATCACATTTCTGCTTTGTCAGCTGGCTCTGCCAATGATGGCCACGAGAGGGAGATAGTGAGGTGGGAGGCGGAAGAAAGGACTCCTGTTTGCTTCCTGTCCTGTGAAGTAACCCTAGCAATGCTCCTTCACCCTGACCGTGGCAGTTCCTTCCTGTAGCGGGCGCTGATTCCACTTTGCAGATTTCCTCCCAACAATTGCAGAACAAGCTTCATAGTGTCACACTCAGAGACACCAGCATCAACCGGGTAGCACCCCTTTCCTCAGAGGTGTCGGTCCCTCTTCCAAGTTCAGAGACACCAGCGTCAGACTTGGAAGTCCGACTTTCAGCTCTGTAGAGCCCCTTTTCTAAGTGTCTAAGTTTTAGTAATTCCAAACTCTTTCCTTTGCTCTCCTAGTTCTAGAAATCATAGATGCTTCTAGAGTTTTCTTTTTACCCTTTCAGTTATCTAGTTAACAACTCTATTTAGTTAACCATTCTAATCACTCTTTATAGTAAATTCTCTCTGTCCAGTGAATGGTGTGATTACTGTCTCATTGGCTGGACCCTGACTGCTATAAAAATTGGGCTCTTGCCCTGGCGGATTTGGCTCAGTGGATAGAGCATCAGCCTGCGGACAGAAGGGTCCCAGGTTTGATTCTGGCCAAGGGCACATGCCTGGGTTGCAGGAGGCAGCCGATCAGTGATTCTCTCTCATCATTAATGTTTCTATCCCTCTATCCTCTCCCTTCCTCTCTGAAATCAATACAAATGTAAAAAAATAATAAATGCATCACTAGGGACATTTAAGGTAGAAGTTTTAATATATTTTATTGAGTTTTTACAGAGAGGAAGAGAGAGGGATAGAGAGTTAGAAACATCGATCAGCTGTCTCCTGCACACTCCCCACTGGAGATGTGCCCGCAACCAAGGTACATGCCCTTTACCGGAATCGAACCTGGGACCCTCGAGTCCGCAGGCTGATGCTCTATCCACTGAGCCAAACCGGTTAGGGTAAAGGTGGAAGTTTTAGGAGAGTGATGTAGACAGGCCAAATTATAAGAGGTTAAGGAATGAATAGGTGACCAGGATGTGGTAGTTGCTCTTTAATGTGACTCTAATGAGAGAGAAAAAGATAAACCTGAAGCTAGAGTAAGGAGGTAGCCAAACATGGGAAGCTGTTTCTGTCATTGTTTTTTAAAATATGTTTTTATTGATTTTATTGAGAGAGGAAGGGAGAGGGAGAGAGAGATAGAAACATCTATGCATTAACATCGATTGGCTGTCTCCTGCATGTCTTCTGCTGGGAATCCAGCCCCGGAGCATGTGCCCTGACCAGAAATCAAACTGGTGACCTCTTGGTGCATGGGTTAACGCTCAACCACTGAGACACACCAGCCAGGCTGTTGTTGGTTTTTTAGTTTTGCTTTTTAATTGATAGAAGAGAACTGAGTATGTGTTTGCAGTCTCAATGAACAGGAAGAGATAAGACATGAGTGGAGGGTTGGCCACAGGCAGAGGGAGGTCCACATATTTAAGATAAGAGGAAAGGATAGATTCAAACAGAAATGATGAGGTAGAGAGGAGGGAAGCTGAAAATCAAGTTGGTTTGTACAAAGTGACAAGGAACAAGAAAAGATTTAGAGTTTAAAGAGAACCCACTTGAGGTGGGACAGCAGGAATGTATACTGGAACCAGTATGTCCAGTTTTGTAACTTTGTTCCGTAGCCAACAAGTGAGAGGGGAGGAAGCCCACTATTTGGTTCACTCCAAGGTAGGGTTCATCAAATTGAGAATCTTTGGAACCAAGGGCATCCCTGGGTGGCCTTGGGCACGTGTACCAATTAGTGTTCCTTGAGGTTATTGTTGTTGCCTTTCTACCCCTTCCCATCGTGTAATTTGACTTCCTTTCTTACTCTTTCCTACCCTAGTTCCAGCCCTCATCCTATACTTTTCCTTAGGTTTTCCAATAACCCCAGTCTGGTGGACAGACCCTAAGATGACCCCTAGTGATCCCTGCCTCCTCATAGTCACACCTCTGTGTAATCCTCTCCTCGTGTGTTAAAGTGAGACCTGTGACTTTCTTCTAACCTAAAGAATATGGCAAAAGTGATGGGATGTTGCTCCCGTTACATATATAGTTGAATCTTGAACAATGCAGGGGTTGAAGGTACCGACCCCCGTGCAGCCAAAAATCCATGTTTAACTTTTAACTCTCTCGGTTCCATGGGGAAGTGGTTCCAGGACCCAGGCAGATACCAAAATCCGAAGATGCTCAAGTCCCCTATAGAAATGGTTCACAGCCCTATCCGGTTTGGCTCACTGGATAGGGCCAAATTGAACCCGGGAAAGGTCCCAGGTTCAATTCTGGTCAAGGGCATGTACCTTGGTTGCAGGCACATCCCCAGTAGGAGCCGTGCAGGAGGCAGCTGATCAATGTTTCTCTCTCATCAATGTTTCTAACTCTCTATCCCTCTCCCTTCCTCTCTGTAAAAAATCAATAAAATATGTTTAAAAAAGAAAAAGAAAAAAGAAACGGTGCACATCAATCATCAATGCATATAGTCAGTCCTCCCATCATAGACTCCCAATTGTAGAAGAAAAAAAATACAGGTACTTATTGAAAAAAAATCTGTGTATAAACAGACCAAGGTAGTTCAAACCCATGGTGTTCAAGGGTCAACTGTATAATAAACTGTATAATAGAATACGTTGCATTATATAAAACTCTGTCTTGGCACCTAGAGCTAAGACTTTCCTTGTGGGCTTGATGAAGTAAGTAAGCGCCATGCTGGAGAGGCCTACATGGCAAGGAACTGTGCAACCTCCAGCAACTGCAGATGGCTGAGGGGCGCCTCCAATTGACAGCCAGCAAAAATCACAGGCCCTCAGTCATACATTCGCAAGGAAATCAGTTTTGCCAACAACCTGAATGGGCTTGCGAGTGGATTCTTCCCCAGTTGAGTCTCCAGGGGAGAATGCAGCCTGGCTGACACCGTACCTCGATTGTAACCTTCTGGGACTCTAAGGACTCAGCTAAGCTGTGCGGAAGCTCCTAACCTAGAACCTGTGAGATGTGTTGTTGTAAGCTGCTAAATTTGTGGTCATTTGTTACACACCAATCGAAAATGAAAATACCCAGAATTCCTGAAAGACACCGGGCCCTGAAGCATGAATCTTCCTCTTGTGTTAAAGTGGGATCTGTGACATGAGGTGACACTTGGAAACTCTGGGTCTGGGTCCAGATCACAGAGCTGGGTAAGGAAGGCCAGAGCATGTGCCACACACAACTCTTGGGCACTTTGAACTGCAAGACAGTGGTTAACAGGCCCCTGGCTTTCAAATAAGATTGTTCCCCACTCCCACCCCCGCTTGCCCCGCAAAATGCCTTTGCAGTCAGTCCTCAAGCCTGGCCCTGGGATTACAGCTGAGAAGTCCATCACCGAATCTCGGCGCTTGGCACGGCGCGCGGCACCCAGGGGCCGCCCAACAAATGGTTTGCTTGAAAAGGAACGGAAAGCCCTCGAGTGCGCATCTGCTGCCCAGTCATTGTGCAGAAAGGGCCGGCCGGCTCGGGGCGGAGAGGCTGGCGGGCGCCGGCAGCGGCGCAGGACCGGGAGCGGGCCCAAGCGCCATCCCCGGCCCAGGCGGAAGGGGCGCTGCGGCGGGAGGCCGCGCCGGCGGGGGCGGGAGGGGTGGAGCCGCCCCCGGCGAGTGAGCGAGCGCCGCGCGCCGCCGCCAGCTCCGCTGCTCGCCCGGGTCCCGGTGCGGCGCGGCCGGCCCGCGGGGCGCGGAGGCGAGGCCCGCGGCGGCCGCATGAAGGACTGTGAGTACCAGCAGATCAGCCCCGGGGCCGCCCCGCCGCCTGCCTCCCCAGGGGCGCGCCGCCCCGGCCCCGCCGCGCCCCCGGGTCCGGGCCCCGGGCCCCCACCGCCCGCCGCTGCATCGCGCTGGGGCAGCAGCGGCAGCGGCAGCATCGGCCACCGCCCGCGGCGCAAGTGGGAGGTGTTCCCGGGCCGCAACCGCTTCTACTGCGGGGGCCGCCTCATGCTGGCCGGCCACGGCGGGGTCTTCGCGCTCACGCTGCTGCTCATCCTCACCACCACCGTCCTCTTCTTCGTCTTCGAGTGAGTTCGGCGGCGCCCCCATCCCCATCCCCTCCGGTCTCCTCCGACCCCTGCACACCCCCCGCCCCCCCTTCGCCAGCCTTTGATGGGCATTCCAGCCCCTCCGGTCCCCGCTGGGCTCTCACTCCACCCTTCGCAGCACCTGCAGGCACCTTCGGATCCCTGCCTCTGGGCCTGCATCCTCCCTGTGCCTTAGAGTCTGCCTTCAGGCCCCTCCTCCTTGCCTCTTATCCTTCCTCCCTGGTCCCCATCCGCCCTCCTAGCCACCCCATTCTCTGTGGTCCCTTCCTAGCACCCCCATCCTTCCCTGGCACCCTGCCTTTGCCAGCCTCTGCCAGGAACCGCCCTCCCATGTCCCTTGGCCCCAGACCTCCCTGCCTCTGCCTCCACCCCCCCACCCCCCTCCTTGGACAGATCTCTCTCCTCACCTATCCTCAGGATTGGCCTCCCCCCCCCTGCCCCCCAGGTTCTCTCTGACCCCTTGAGGCATCCTTTCTCATATCCCTTCCAGATAACGTCTGAGTTTTTCCATGGCCTTTGGCTATATGCTCCCCACCACAGGTTTCCTAGGTCTTCCCATTACCTGCAGGGTCCTTCTAGGCCCCCTTGGTCATCTCTCTACCCTCAGACCCTCTCTCCTTGCTTCTCCCTGTTGCCTGGGTCCTCGGGCAATCTTCCCTCAAACATGTTTGGGCCTCTCAGACCTCCCTTTCCCTCCCCAGCACTTTCCTTAGCTTCTTCAGAGCTTCTTTTCCTTCCTGAGTCTCCTGTTTCCCCCAGACATCTCCCAAGCCCCTCGCCCTCCTAACCTCCTGGCCTTCTCTCCCTGTCAACATTTGGAGCATCCCTCTGGCCTGTTCCATGGCAGGAACAGCTGCAGTGCCTGTATTTTTCAGGAGAGTCCAGAGTACTTTTGTGTGACAGGTCATGTTTGCTCCTGTGAGCTTTAACGTCTTCATGTCCCCAGGTTTGGCCCACATGGTAACTCCAGTTTATGGATGAGGAGGGGACGCCTGTCATTTTACTAGGGTCACATATTTGTATCAGAAGTTTTCCACCTTGCCTTGGTCTCTAGCTTCAGCTACCTGCTACATGATTCCTTGCACGCGCACATGTACACACCCACTTCATGCTGTATGAGCTCTGCTTCCCCTCCTGGTTCTCCCCATCTTTTGTGGTCTTACTTCATTTTACAGTGTAGTTAAAAATGCCACCTCTGGAGCCAACAGACCTGGTTCAAATTCCGGATCCACCACACACTAACTGTGGGACTTTCGGGGCAGTCACTTCACCTCTCAGAGCCTCAGTTTCCTCATCTATAAAATGGGGTTTATAACAGTACCCACTCCCTCAGGCTGTCATGAGGGTGATATGAGGGTAGTATGAAGTCACTCATGTAGCTTTTAGCCTATAACAAGAACTTAGTGCTTGCTGCTGCTCTTACTGTTGTCTTGGTCAAAAACTCTTCCCTGGGGCCTGGGGCCATGATGACTGAGGCTGCCACAGAGACACTAGCCCCAGGTCACCTTTCAGGCTGCCAGATCATGTATCTGCAATCTTGGCTTTCCCCTTGAAACAAGGTGAGGACTTCCTGCCACTTAGCTTAGCTTCTCCCTTTCACCCTTCCCTTCTGAGTCAGGGTGGATACAAAGTTCTGGGACAGTTTAGCAAGCAGAAGCTCTGGGGAGCCCCCAGGGCCCCCTGCATGGCTCCTGGCTGAGTTTCAGATCCATGTCGTTGGGACTGCCCACGGGGATGTTCCGAAAGTTCCTTTTCCAGTGTCCTGCCCGGGTCTTCCCACCAGGGCTGCAGCGAGGGCAGGAGGAAGCGGTGCTTGCCGTGTTTGGCCCCATGACCTGCAGTGTGGGATTTGGTCAGTTCAGAAGCAGGACTTTCTCTGGGCATTTGATTGGGTGTCTTCACTGGTGACAGAGTTGTCCCCAGAGTGGGAGGAAGCGAGGAGCTTGTGAAACATGGCGTCTATTTCTGCTCCTCCCCACGGGGTAGTGGAGTCGGCAGGGGGCTGGGGTTTGGGCCAAGAGCTCACCTCAGTCTGGACTGGGGTGAAAACTCAATAGGGAGCTGGCATGACGGGAATGCTGCTGGTGAGGGTGTGGAGGGTGAGAGGTGCTCATGCTCGCCTATTGCTCTGGGGAAAGGCAGAGGTGGCTCTCTAGGGCCTTCCTGCTGAGAATGGTTTTGCTTCGTTGTTTGGTTTGGTGGATTATTGCACAGGCCTCCAAGCAGGGCTCCCAGCTTCTGCCCTGCTTCCCACCCTAGATGCTGTATCTTTAATTGTCAGTCCTCCCTGGCTGTCTAGATTAGGGCCAGAGCCCTGAGAAAGGACTTTCTCCCTGTACCCATCTCCTCCCGCAACCCCTGTGTATTTCCCTCCAGGCACATCGGCCTCCTTGCACACTCCTGCCCCAGGTCTGTGCATTTTGTATTCTCCTCACTATTGTAGTCTTAGTGCCTAGAACAGGGCCTGGTGTGTAGTGGCCACTCAATACAACAAATATTTGTTGAATATGAATGGACAGAGCATTTGCTGGGAGCCCCTAGAGACTCAGTCCTGTTACTGACTGGGTGACCTTGGATATGGCTGTGGGTTTCGGAGTCCCCTTTTATAAAATCTGGGGGCTGGGACTTGCTGTTTTTGAGGGTTCTATAACTCTCAGACCTTAAGTCTTCTCTATCCTCCGAGAAGTCTGGTTGGACGCGAACTGGTGGAGTTGTCATGTGGGTGACATGGAGGGCTCAGCTCTGAGGTTCGGACCTGGGGAGCACTGAGATGTTTGGAGCAGAATGTGTCCCACTAGAGTCCTTGGCCTTGGCAGTCTCTGCTCCTCAAGGGATGGGCCGCTCTGGAGGCCAGAACCTCAAATGATGGAGGCTCCAGAAATAGCATGTAGGTGCCCACAGGTTTGCTTCCTGCGGTTATGCCAGCTCCTGGAATCTTGGCTGATTTGGGCCTCCCAGTGGCCAGTCATCTCCCAAATAGCAGCTCCTCACTCACTATGGCTCAGGGAGGGAAGGCAGCAGAGGACAGTGGTAAAATCAGACCTGTGCACAGGGTTTCCTCCAAGCCAGCTGGGGTCAGGGGCCTGACAGAACGAACTTGGGACACCAGTCTTTGGGTAACAGTATTAGTGGCTGGACCATGCTCTTCTCCCGACCCCCTTCACTTGGCTAATCCTGCTCATTCTTTGTTTTTATTTTTTAAATATATTTTTATTCATTTCAGAGAAGAAAGAAGAAAGAGAGAAACATCATTGATGAGAAAGTCATTAATCGGCTGCCTCCTGTATACCCCCTATTGGGGATCGAGCCTGCAACCCGTGCATGTGCCCTGACTGGGAATCAGACCGTGACCTCCTCATTCATAGGCCTATGTTCAACCACTGAGCTACACCAGTCAGGCTGTTTTTCCTTTTTAATATGCTTTTTATTGGTTTAAGAGAGAGAGAAGGGAGAGGGAGAGAGAGAAACATCGACTGGCTGCCCCCAGCAGTGCACGCCCCCTACTGGGGGTCGAGCCCGCAAACCTGGGCACATGTCCTGACCCATAATCAAGCCAGTGACCTCGCAGTGCATAGGATGATGCTCGGTTTTGAGCCACACCACCAGGGCTAATCCTACTCATTCTTCAGGTTTTAGCTTAGGCGTCTCCTTCAGCCAGTCTGTTTTCCTGACTGTTCTACTGCCTTTTCCTTCCCCATTATAGTATGCAGGGCCATGTGGCAATTCTCTGTTTACATGTCTGTTCTCCTCACTAGACCATAAGCCTCATTGAGGGAACAGGGGACTCTTGTCTTATTCATTGCCAAGTATTCCTGCTTCTTATTGAAGGTGTTGCCTGGCATGTAGAAGGCCTCCGTAAATATTTGTGGAGTGAGTGACTGACTGACTGGATGAATGAGTGAACATTGTCATGAATGGTTCATCTCAAGTGACATTCCAATTAATTGGTAGTAGCTGCCTGAAGCTCTGGGTTTAGAAGGATTCTGATGCTGCAGCTAAGTGTACAGTGCTGGGATCTACTGATCACATCTGCCATGGCTCAGGGCAAAAGTGTGGGATTAATTAGTGATGTCAGGCACTCATGGGGAAGTGGCTGCTGCCTCTGGGAGAGGCTCTATTCAAGAATGCGGGGGTGTTTGCTGGGATGGCAGTACCTGTCTAGCATTGTAGCCCTGTGCCCCAGGGGGCCTGTGGGGTAACTACTCATCTTTTTCTCCCTCTCTTTTTTCTAGCTGTCCCTTCTTGGCCCGCCAACTGACCCTTGCCATCCCCATCATCGCTGCTATCCTCTTCTTCTTCGTCATGAGCTGCCTGCTACAGACGAGTTTCACGGACCCTGGGATCCTGCCCCGGGCCACCGTCTGTGAAGCAGCTGCCCTGGAGAAACAGATCGGTGAGGCTCCTACTTCAGTTGAAGCTGTGTCCCCCAGGTCCACACTCCCCGATTTGATAGGAGGCTTGGTTTTCTCTCCCCACACTATGCTGGGAGCTGGGGGTCAATAGTGAGGAAGGCAAGTGGGAGCTGACACTAGAATGGAGGAGACAGATGATAAATAAGGGAGCAACAAACAAGAAGTGCTAGCAAGTGAAAGCTGTCATGGCAGCCAGCATAGTACTGAGAGCTTCCTGGGTGCCAGGCACTGTTTCCACCTCTTTATATGCGTGATCTTATTTAATCACCCAATAATCCTCTGAGGTAAGTACTGTTGTTACTCTCCTTTTACTAATTAAATGGAGTCTCAAAGAGGTTAAGTAAATGGTCCAAGATCACACAGTAAGTGGGAGAGCTGCGATGAGACCCCAGGCAGTCTGGCCAGAGCCCCTGCTCTTAAACAGTTAAATACACTTATGCATTTACTCATCAAACACTTATTGAGTCCCTACTATGTGCCAGGTACTTTTCTAGATGCTGGTAATACAGCAGTAAACAAATCTGACAATAATCTCTGCCTCTTGGAGCTGACATTCCAGCGGAAAGAATCAAACAGCAATGAAAGAAAGATCTAGGATGTGAGACAGAGAAGAGGAAACCAGGGAGGTGGGATGAGAGCTGGGGGAGAGTGTGTGATTTTAAACAGGGTGGTCGGGGAAGGCTTTGTGAATGAGATGACATCTGATTCACAAAAAGAAACAAAAACCTGCAGAGATGAGGGTTTGAGTTGTGAGGATCTGAGGGGAGAGCACAGTAGGTTGGGGAGGGGGCTAATATAGATTAGATGGTCAGGGGAGGCCTCTGGGGGAGGTGGCACTTGAGATGAGCCCTGAATGGTGCAATGGAGCCAGTAATATGTGGTTTGGAAACAATAAAAACAAAACCCTGGAGTTGCAGATAAATTGGTGTGTTTGAGGAACGGCAGGAAGGCCAGTATGGCAGAAGGACCTGTGCTCCCAGGCACCTCACGTGGCCCTTGACTCCTCCCAGTGTGGGTCCCCCTGGTGGCTGAGCAGCAGGGGGTGCAGGGAGGGGGGCAGGGCCTTAATCTCAGCTTGCTCCACCCCAGCTCCTTCCTGCTGAGAAGTGACGTCAGTATTTGTACACCTCACAGGTTTCCGGTTCCTGGTTGGCTCCTTCCCCTAACAGGGTGGCTTTCGGACAAGCTTTTAATCACCCAGTTGGCCCTGAAAAGACCTTGTGGCCTATAAATGCAGAGGCTGCTGCACCCATCACAGGAAGTCATTCCACTAATTTTCTGCAGCAGCTCGGGAGGGTGGTAGGAGGGGAGAGGATGTTCTCTCGCTCTCTGTCTGCTCCTTGTGTCTTCCTCCGCCCAGGCCCGTCCTCAGTCACGCCCTTGGTTGCTGTCTTCCTCTGCCTGCATCCAGCTTCCTTCCCTCTTACACGTCTGAGCCACTCGGCCTGGTTTCTGCTCTGTCAGAACCCCACAGTCTGACCTGGGCCAGTCCACCCGGCAGTGGGGAGGCTCAGCTGCAGCCCCATTTCTCCTCCCTCCTGGTCGGGCTAATCAGGAGGCAGGATTATTATCCAACGCAACCTGAGCTCAGAGGCCTGGCTGCCTGGAGTCCTCTGCTTCCTGTGAGCTGTCAGGGTAATGCTGACGTCAGTAATCCCCCATGTTTGGGGAGAGCTTGACTGTGTGCTGAGGGCTTCCTGTCCATTATCCCCACAAATCCTCACAGCAGCCGGCCGTGCCCATGCAGCGATTGAGTGTGTGCCTTGACTCCCAAACCCCTTATCCTAATGTCTCAGCTCAAGTGTCCTGTACTCTGGGAAGCCTTTGTGACCCCAGTTGGGCCACACCTCCCATGACACATTCCCAAAACACCTTTTCCTGCCGTCTTGGCCCTGTGCTGCTTGATAATCACTATGGAATTGTCAGGCAGGCCCAATAGCCTTTCCCAGTGAGTCTCTTCTTCACCTGTCAGCCACCTGGACAGCTGAGTGACTTGGGCTCAATGTATGAGCCTCCTTGCTGTCCCCATGTGATGGTGGAGAGACAGTGGAACTTCTCCCAATTAGGCATTACGGGTTTGACCATTTATGTGTTGATTCTCTATCAGTGATGGTGAACCTTTTGAGCTCGGCGTGTCAGCATTTTGAAAACCCTAACTTAACTCTGGTGCCGTGTCACATATAGAATTTTTTTTGATATTTGCAACCATAGTAAAACAAAGATTTATATTTTTGATATTTATTTTATATATTTAAATGCCATTTAACAAAGAAAAATCAGCCAAAAAAATGAATTCGTGTGTCACCTCTGACACACGTGTCATAGGTTCGCCATCACTGTTCTATATGCTGACTACTAACTGTGTGTGTTTTGGGGCAGGGGTGGGGGGCGGTGGGCAAAGGTAGGCCTGCCTGCCTGACACTGGTGAGACCAGGCTTTGGAAGAGCATCAGGGAAACCAGGAGTACCTTCTGTCCAGAGGATATGGGGAGGCCTCATGGAGGGGTGCATTGAGCCAAACTGTAAAGTTTGGGTGGAGTTCAAGCACAGGAAGATGTGTGAGGGGAGCCCTCCAGGCTGGAACAGAAGGAGGAGAGGACAGAAGGAGGACTCTGATCAGGACATGTTGTCTGGAACACAGGGGGTACTTCAGAAAATTTGGGAAATTCTCATTGGAGGATGGGGTGGCGGCAAGTCTAGTGGGGCCCACATGTCAGGGTTTGAGACTCTCCTTTGCGAACAGTTGCCAAGCCTAGAAAGTGGCATCTTTGAGGGCTCTGAATTCTCAAACTTGAACAGGAGGCTTCCAATCAGGTTGAAACATTTTCTTGAAAAGGACTAAGGTCACTGAGCATTTTGTGTGTTTTTTTGTTTGTTTGTTTTTCTGTTTCAGAGAGGAAGGGAGAGAGAGAGAAATATCAATGATGACAGAAAATCATTGGTTGGCTCCGCCTGTATGCCCCTTACTGGGGACCGAGCCCACAACCCAAGCATGTGCCCTTGACCAGAATGGAACCTGGGACCCTTCAGTCAGGCGGCCGACACTCTATCCACTGAGCCAAACCAGCGAGGGCTCACTGAGCGTTTTTGAAAAGGTTGGGGGCTGGCTCTGGGTGGTGGTGCTGTTCATATAAACGTGACCTGATTACTAGGCCTGGGTCCATGCAGGCTGTGGGTGTCTTACTTTGGCCCTTAGACCAGCAGCCCCAGCCCAACAGGATCTGGCCCAGGGCTCCCAACCTTCGCCATCACTGTCTGAGGTTGGATGACCAGGGCCTCCCAGTTTTCCCAGGACTGTCCCTGTCCCTCGTTTAGCACTGAAAGTCTCCTGTCTTGGGAAACCCCTCAGCTGCAGGCACACCGGGCCCTTGGTCACCCGTCTGAGATTCTGACTTGTCAGCTGGCAGGCCTTGCAGTGGGATCACCCTGCAGGGCCACACAGAGCTCAGGTGATTGGGCAGTTGGGAAAGGAGTAGGAGGTTGCAACATTGGCCCATAACCTCCTGCTATGATGGGAGACGATAGAAACATCTAAATTCCATGGACAGACACTCATCTAGAATCACAACTCACAGGACAGACATGAAGGCCTCTTCCTCTGCCAGCACATAGCAGGTCACAAACCCCATGCTGACCCCAGGATGTCTCCTCTCAGGTCCTTCCACAGTCCCAGGACCGACTCCATCCTGATTGGCTCTGCTGACCAGGCCTGGACACCTGGCCTCTCCCTTTGGTCATGGTTGTCTCTCCAAGACTCACATTTGGCCCTGGCCCTCCCAGGCTCAGAATTTGGGTGACTTCTTAGCGCCCTCAGCAGCATTTCCTGAAGTTCAGTCTCTGGAGTACAACCTTTGTGACTTTTGCCTTTTCTGCATCGTGCCTTGTACCTTCATTTCTTAGTGTTTTCCTTCAAATGGCTTGCTTTTAAATGTAGTTTACAAGGAAACTCTATATCACCTCTGTGAGCAGAAAGCCAGTTGTTCTGCATAGAAGATAATTATAAAACCAAAACGTAATGTAACGGAATTTTTGGTGGTTGCAGTGCCTGCTGAGAGCAGTCACTTTGAGGCCTATGAGGATCACAGGTGTTAGGTATTAAAAGTGGAGACTTTGCTGAAACCGGTTTGGCTCAGTGGATGGAGCCTCGGCCTGCGGACTGAAAGGTCCCAGGTTCGATTCCGGTCAAGGGCATGTACCTGGGTTGTGGGCACATCCCCAGTGGGAGATGTGCAGGAGGCAGCTGATCGATGTTTCTCTCTCATCAATGTTTCTAACTCTCTATCTCTCTCCCTTCCTCTCTGTAAAAAAATCAATAAAATATATTAAAAAAAAAAAGTGGAGACTTTGCCTTGATGGGATAAAAGGCTTGAAGGAGAACTGAAAAGGGAATAACGTTGCCTTCTTCTTTGTGACATCTCGGAGCCTGTGGAGGCCTGATGGGAGCAGGGCTTCTGTAACAACACATATGTCTGGAAGGCTGTGGTCCAAGGCCACTTTTGTTGGCTCTAAGCAGGGTCTCCAGAATCAGAGGGAGCACATAGCTCTTCTTAAAATTAAAGGTGCTGCCCTAGCCGGTTTGGTTCAGCAGATAGAGCATTGGCCTGCAGACTGAAGGGTCCCAGGTCCCATCCCAGTCAAGGGCACATGCCCAGGTTGTGGGCTCGGTTCCTAGTAGGGGACGTGCAGGAGGCAGCCAAACAATGATTCTCTGTTATCATTGATGTTTCTATCTCTCCCTCTCCATTCCTCTCTGAAATCAATAAAAATATATTTTAAAAAATTTAAAGGTGCTTATGCTCAACATGAAACTGAAGTCTATCTAGGCAAGAGATGTGCTTATGTGTACAAAGCAAAGAACAAAACAGTGACTCCTGGTGGCAAAAGGAGCAAAACCAGAGTAATCTGGGGAAAGGAAACTTGTGCTCACGGAAACAGTGGCATGGTTCGTGCTAAATTCCAAAGCAACCTTCCCACTAAGGCCA